CCTTAAAATTATATTTATGGGCTCATGGGAATTTGGAAATATTTCAGCTTTCAGTTGAAGAAAAGAGAAACTAACTTATGGATTTCAGCCTTGATGAATTTGAAGGACAGATAGAAAATATGCGTTGCATGTATTGACGTTGTTGGCTGGTTTAGACACCAGAAGGGAAACAAAGAAAGATCCAAAGCAGGTTTTGCATGACTCCTCTAAACCAGTCCTGTTACTTTGGAGTCTGCTTTGTGATTTTTGGGTGCTTGGGGTGGGCAGTGCCCTGAAGGGTGCTGTTGCGTGACGGCCTGAGCCTGGTTGTGGAGACACCCCCCACACTTGCAGTTCTCTTTGCTTTGTTCCTCTGCCTCCCCTGCAATATTATCTTGGGCAAAACTTGAGAATAAAAAAAAGAAAGAAGAGAAAAAAAGAAATTTTTGGGGCCCAGCTGTGTCACTTCAATTTTTTTTCTAGCTGTTGAGGAAGATTTGTGAGGATTCTCTGGGGGACAAAGGGTCGGGTCAGAGGTATAAAGCCACTCACCCTCTACCGGAGGCATTTATAATGCCAGAGCAGCTCCCTGGGGAGCGTCTGTCTGTCTGTCCTTCCCTCTGGGGTTGATGAGAGGCAGACGGCCTCCCCCCAGCTGTTCCCTCTGTCACGTTACAAATGAGATGCTGAAAAGCAGCCCTTGGCCTTGAGACAGCTCTTTTCTCTCTGGCTCATTCTACCCATCAATTAACATCAAGCAAAGGTGTTTTATAACTCTTTCATAACTTTTTAAGAGCTGGACCCTCACACCCTTGCAAAGCGCAAGTCCAACTCCTGTGCAGGGTGGCTGCCAAAATCTGTGCATGGCGAGTTGCGTGCAAAAGCAAACAGGACTTTTGCTTTTCGTGAAAAAAATTGCCCCTTAACAGTCACATTCTTCCATGGAGAGTTTATCCAAAAAGAGCATCTTTGTTATAAGTGAGGGTGGGGGAAAAAAAACATCTTTATCCTTCCCCATCAAGACAGTGATACTTAACACCAGTGTTGGACACGATCTTCTGTCTTCTTCCATTGCTGATGCACTTTGAAACCTGGTACCAAGAGCTGGTGGCTTTGCCTGGACTCCATCACTCCCTAATAAGAGCAAGTGGCATTTTGAGTTAGTGTTCACCCTTGCAGCTCTTGGCCTGTGCAATGGGTGTGAAGTGTGAGGAGTCAATTATGAAGAACAACTAAAAATCGTGCATTGCAGCATAATTCCTGGCGGAGAACGGCGAGATGATGGCGGAGGCTTTCAGGCTGTCTCTTACCCACTGACCCTCTCCTCTTGTACCAACTTCCACCAGTTTGGCTGTATGTTTTCTTAGGAACCAGCTTCCACACAAAGGCTACTGAATTTTTCTTAAATGCCGGTTTCTGTCAGAGCTGATAAGGCAGCAGCCAGCCTGCAAAGATAATGCAGGGTATGGAGGCTTCATGGGTTTGTCTTTATTTCGATTTTTTACTGAGTATTTGAGACACACTGAGAGCTGTCTAGAGATGTTTGGTTTAGTGGATTCCCTCCCTCCCTTTTCTTTGTCTTTAGTCCCAAAATGCTTTTATAGTGATTTAGGAGAGAAAAAAAACAAAGGGTGCTAACGGAGCTGGTGAATTAGTGGTATTTACTGAAGGGAACAGGGAAGGTGGGCAGCCCAAGCTGCATGATGAGGGATGCTTTGGACTCTGCTCTTTTGATGGTTCCAGTTGGAAAATATTCCCCTCAACCAGAGTTTAAGGGGGGTAAGGAGCGACACAGAGTCACAGCTGGTCACTGGCAAAAATGCATCACGGTGTAGGAAAGCTTGTGATTAATTGTCTTTTCAACTTGTCCCTCACTCCAGCTCCCCTTCTCCCGAAGCATTATCCCTGTTTGGGCTGCTGGCTTTTGTTAACCTGCAATGAAGTGTTTACACTTGGCTCAAGCTAACCAGAAAGGAAACTTTTCCAGGCAAAAATTGATTTACCTGCTGATGCTAATGACTTTGTTATAGGGAGCCTGGTGAGCAAGACAGATCTGGATAGGAAATATAGCCCATAGCCTTACACAGAGAAGTCTTCTGTCACCCTTGGAATGTGAGATTAGCATCCATTTTCAGCCTGAGCAAGCCCTTAGTGATGTGAGGTGTCCCCCCATGCTCGTGGCTTGCTGTGAGCCCGTGGTGTCCCCAGCTTGGCTTCTGTCTGATGCAACTCTGTGGCTGGTCACATCGTTGACAGATTAAGATAGAGATCTGGCTGGAAATCCCACCAATAAAAAGAGAAAGAAATAAAGTCATGGCACAGTCCTATAGCACTGGATTTTATGATAGGATGTGAGGAAGTGGCCTCAAGTTGTGTCAGGGGGGTTTAGATTGGATAGCAGGAAAAATTTCTTTACTGAAGGAGTGGTCAGGCATTGGAGCAGGCTGCCCAGGGAGGTGGTGGAGTCCCCATCCCTGGAGGTGTTCAAAAAATGTGTAGATGTGGCACTTTGGGACATGGTTTAGCAGGCTTGGTGGTGTTGGGGTGACAGGTGGACTTGATGATCTTAGAAGTCTTTTCCAACCTTAATGATTCTATGAATATATATCTGGCTGTTGCTCATGGCACTCCTCAGGTGGTTTGTACAAAGCATGCTGTTATTCACTGATATTTAATATTCATTGTCTTCTGAGTGGTGTTTCGCCATGGTTGGAATTACGATGCCAGACACCAAGTCCCACTTTCAAGTTTCAATGCAATTTGTGGGCATGGTTTAATTAAGCTTCGCGGCACTGCTTGGAGGAAAATGTTTTACGCCTCCAGTATTGTGCAGGCAACCTCGTACAGAGGGTCAGGAGCAGTATGGGAACACAGTGTTTTTGTTACGCGCTTCTGCCCAGCAAATCGTTCTTGCTCTTTAATGTAATCTGTTGCATATGAAATTAATTTCAAACATGCATTTGCTCACAAAGTAGCGTTCTTTGCACCAGAAATCCATAACAGTAGAAGAAACCACTGCCAGATGTCTATATTTATAGAAAACTGGCACGTTCTGTCTGGTGATGACAGAATATTTCAGTGTATTTATGAAGTGCGCATGTTTTTAGAAGTATAGAAATCCAGTCAATATCAGTAGAACTATTCATCAGACATCTTGATTTTTTTTTTGTTTTAACCAACAGAAAATGTTTCTTTAGTTGATGTAGTACCAAAAAAAAAGCGTTCACTCCTCCTCTGTCGCCGCTGTAGTTTTTTCCCAGCTTCACAAACCTCTTCATTTTAGAGGGGTATTTCTGGGTTTAAAATAAACAGTACTAGAATCTCATGCAACTTTGACCATGTATTCCTACATCAAGCATTTTTACTTGAGAGACAACTGTTCATAAAGCTGAAACAATAATTTCCACTCCAGGAGTGGATCCTGCAATGTTTTTCAGTTTTCAGAATAAGTATTTTTTTTGCTGAGATGCCACTCATTTGGTTTGTTTCCATGCAAAGGGTGTCGCATTTGGATCTGATCACACTGGGAGTTAAATTTGGATCAAGCCAGAGGTGCTGGAGGGTGCAGGAGCCATGGCACAGCTGGTGGTGCAAGTGCGAAGCCCATCAGAAATTGTGTCCTCAAGACAGTTCTGTTCCATTCCAAACTTTGTGTTAACAGCTAAACTGAGCCACTTGCTGCCTCAGTGTCAAAGTTTTAGCATGAAATACCTGCTGTAGAGATTGGAGACTTTTGAGAATTAAAATCTGCAGAGATCTCCCCAATTCTTGGTTGGATGGTGCTGTTGGAAGCATACCTGGCAGTATGTAAGTTTAAGGGATTTAGATAGGTGCCCTTATGTATTATAGTAACAGATAAGGAGCTGTACAGAAACATAAGGGAAAGGGGCTCCTTGTGGGATTTGCTGTTGGAACACAATTGCTAATCTGTGCAATCTGCAAATCACGTTAATTGGGTTTGCTCAGGCTGTTGCTCACACGATCGCTAAGCACAGTAGCTTGAAGGCAGTGGGGTTTTGGCCTCCCAGTCTTTGCTGCGTATTTGTTTTTACAGAAAATGCCTTTGATACATGTAAGTTATATTTCCATGCATTACAAATGATAGATTCCTCCCCCATATCCTGTGACAGCCTTCCCTGGAGACAGACAGTCTGTGTTGTTTTAGAGAGATGAAGAGAGATTAACGGGAAAGGTTCTGCTAGTGTTTGCGAAGACTTCGAGCAAAAAGGAAAGGTTTGGATTGAGCATTTAGTGAGAATGAAAAAGGGTTTCTGACAACTACTGCCTGCACACGGGGCTCCCCTCCCTGGCTCCCCTCTGGAGCGGGCAGCAGTCTTCCAGGAGCACCAGCACAGCCCTGATGAACCCTGAGGCTGTGGGCTTGACATGCACTGGGCTTTCTCTGTGTGTTCCTGCTCAGGTAGGACTGATCCTCCCTGCATCTGCAGGTCTACAGATTATTGTCTGAGCCAGCTGTGCTGGTGTGTTGACTCTCTGGATGGGCACAGAGTCTCTGCACTACTGGGGAGCGTGGGAAGGCTCTCCAGGAGACCCCTTCGTCCCCTCCGTGGGGGGCTCACACCACCAGGCACAGGAATGCTGTCCTGTGGCATGAAGCCGAGGCACTGTCAGAGGTGTTCTGTGAGCTATGTATCGGTGTCTGAGCTGCCCTCAAAGCTGATGGAGATGTCAGTAAGTAGGGCATTGATCTAGTATTGACCAGCTCTCTGCACACCGTAATGGGAATTAGACACCTAAATTTAGGTGAATCAGAGAGTTGACTCCTGGCCATATTTAGGTTCCTGGGATAGTTAATGATGATGCTATATATGGTTACTGCTCATCTATCTCCATGCAGTGCCAGCAATTAAAGCCTCCGGGTAATTCACAGGCATGTCCCCGCTGAGGGTTTTTTTCCCAAGTCTGAGCCTGGACAGGCTCTAGCTCACTCCTTAGCTACCTAACATCTCAGCTCAGGTTAGGCCACCCTTACCCAGAGCCCCCAACTCTTCCTCGCCAGGATGGTGCCTGTGGACACATCACGGTTCACACTATCTGGACAAACATCTGAGAACAGACCTGTGGTATGTTTTGGCCGCTATCAGCAAAGTAGCTGTGTCTGGGAGCTTCACACGTAGGCTAATTGCTGCTAAGTGTGTAATATTATATGTGTTTGAGGGAAGGGGTGGTTTTCCTCCCTCCTGGTGATCAATTTATACCCCAGAGTGGGAAGGATTATTAGCCCTTGGGGCTTTCTTGTCACCATGCAGGGAATTAGCATCCCAAGCAGGAGGGCCTCAAAGGTCTGACTTCTAACCTTGCATGGTGTTTTCATTGTGAAGCATGGACGGGATGTACAAATCAGGTTCAGGCAGTTCTATTTGCTGAAAACAACATCATTTCACAGTGACCCTGAAAACATGACTTCTCTTTTTTTGTTTTTGGATTGTAGCTGGATCCAGGAGGAGGAGTTGTGGGTTGTGGATCAGGAGCTGGAAGCAAAACTTTCCTCTTTGAGTTAGTGCTGCAAATCCTGCCCTTGTTGACAAGGATGGTGACGCACGCAGGAGACTTGGTGGCCTTCACCATGGCTAGATATAGGGTCGATACAGCAGCTCCTGCTTCGTGTGAACTGGAAAATGTGGATGTGGTAGCCTGGAGCCCCACTACAGTGCAAAGGAACGTCAAATCTGGTGTAAATCAGGAATGGCTTCTTTGAAGTGGAAAAGGAAAGGCTAATTTAAAGCCAATAAACGTGAATTCAGCCTCAGGCTTCAGTGAGTGTTACAAGGATTAATATGTGAGCCAGCGCTTTTCCTTACACACGCGAAACTTCACCTTGTGGCATGAAATTCAACTAGTTGCAGAAGGCTCGGGTACCACCAAACCCCTCTCTGGCATGGGAGGCCAGAGGTTCACGGACGTTATGCTGCCTGTCTGTCTGCACATGGAGAAGTGTCGTGTTAAATGAACCCATTACCCAGGAATGCTGATTTAACACCTTTCTTCTACCTCTGGAAGAAGCTTCCTTCCAGGTCTTAAATCTGTGTTATCTTCAGCTCCCTCGGTGTAATTGGGGATTTGGGGATTAGAGGATGGGAGCCAACGTCACCACTGCTGTTCTGCATTTTTGGAATGTGAGGGAAGAGGCTGGGGGTGGAAGAGTTCTCATATGTGCAGTTTATTGGTGTGTCTTTGGTAGAATTTTATTGCTTTGTTAAAAGATGTTGAGCTGTATGATTTACTAGCACTGCCATGATGACTGTATTAATGATTATTTCACATTCCGTGAGATCTTAGTGGGTCCTGCCCATGGTAAGGTCAAAACGAAGGGGCATTTGACATAGTACTGCTTTACTTACAATAACAACTGATAACGAGCCTAGAAAATAAGTAAGTCTCTTTGACTGCAGGGTGCGTTATCTTGCAGCAGATATCAACACAGCCTTCCAGAGAGAACTGTTGACCCTTTGCTGCGTGTTGTCAGATCTCTAAGAAGTGCCATGGCAAATCTGCATGCACGCACGCACTTGAGGGTGCTTTTACTTGCTTCGGAACAGCCATCCCAACGTTAGCAATTATTCCTGGCAAATGCAGTACTGTCTGCTAACCATGCGGGATCGTGGGGTTTGGTTGGGAATGACCAGGCCCAGATGGCATGAAAAAGAGCTTGCAAGCATTTGCATTTCTTTTTCAGGGGTATCCTCTAGTAAAAAGTCAACATGGCCTGCTTGGTGCCTTCTGGAGCGATGGATCAAGTCCCCAAGCCAGGGCTGGTTAGTCTCAGATTCATACATGAAGTGGTTTGTGGTTCTTTGACTATTTCTGCTGCACATTCAGAGTTCTCTGAAAAGCGTGGGTGTTTTTTGACTGCAGCTTTCACATTGCTGCAATGCTGGAGCAGCTGAAACTTTAAGAAAATCAGTGATTATTGCATAATTGAAAAAAAAGCATCTATTGGGCAGAAACCTTCATTTGGGGTGATTGCCATCCAGCATGGTAGACCAGTTCTCTAGGTCTGTATTTGACCTTGCAGATTTGGGCAGGCCAGCTTGGAGCGATAGGCTTTCCATGGGTCAGCCTTGCCTTCACAACATGTACTGGTGGAGATAAGACAATGATCGTATCCTCTGCTAGCTCTCCCCTGCTTCCAAAGCGGATCTTGCCATGTTTTGTCAATTTTTCACAGGCTACTACGGGCCAAGCGGAGACATTCCTTGTCTGTTATTCATGGGGAGAAATGCTTGATTAGGGCTGTTCTTCCTGGAAACATCAGTGAAGCTGATGCCTTGGATCCTCTTCTGCAGATAAGATTAAAAGCATTGAAATCGGCACGCTTCTGGCAGTGGTTTTGACTGGCTGAGGGTGGTAATTGAAGAGAGGCCGTTTTGGATGAGGATGAGATATTTTTCAAAAGTTTTCCCATATAGTTTGTCTGTCGCAAATCACTGGTGGGTGCTGGGGGCACAGAACTTGCCTAATTGAGATGGATTTTTTTTTTCACATTGTTTCTTTCGCTGGCAGTGGTTGCCAGGGTTGCTGCTGCGAAGGGATTGAGTCACTCATTTGTTTGAAGCAGTGACGAAAGGTTCTGTATGTTTCTGTTGATATTAGACACGAAGCTGTGATGTTGGTAGTTTCCATTTCTCTCACTTTCAGTGTATTTTGTTTTTCGTATCAGAGAGGTCAGGAATTCATTTTTGCTGCCTTGGAAGAAGGAATCCTGTAGTCTTTAGGACTTTTTGGCTGCCCATCCCAAACTGTTGTCACCGAAGCACTGTAGAGCCTGTCAGCTGGGGATATTTTCAGTTGCTGTTTTCGTGAGGAACCTGCCTGAGCTTTCAGCCTCTTGGATCTATTTTTCTTCACTTATTTTTATTAAAGTCACTGACCGGTGCAACCCTGGAAGGCAGCCAGGCTTTATTTCATGGCATTGCAGTTTGAAGGATGTGAAGATCAGCATGTAGTATTAGCGTGGCTGGTCTGTCCTGCCTGGCATGGAGCTGGGAGCTTCATCTACTTACACCTTATGGGGGCACAAATTTGTGTTTGATTAAACCCATTCTAGCATCTCCCTATGTGATTATTTCCCTGCAGGCAAGTGAAGGATAGAGAGGAGTATCTGTCATCTGGGAAAGTCTCCTTTCAATAATCAGGAAACCTAATTTCCCAGTTTCTTCTTAAATCCCACTGACTTTAGCCCAGTGGGTTTTGCCCCTCTAGGGTCTCTTTCTTAGCAAAATGCTGAAGTGATTCCCCTGCTGTAGAACAGGTCTGTGAGAAAGCTGCTTTTCCTGCCCTGCCGGTGAGGTGACAGACTGCATCCTCCTCTGTTTCACTCCCCACAGGTAAATTTTCTGCAGATAGTCACCTGGGGACGTGTGTGTGCATATTTAAAATAAGAGATAAACCCCAGCTAGTGTCTCGTAAGCGCTTCTGTTGGCTGCTGGCCCTGCTAAGAGCTGGGAGAGCAGATTTCACTCTCCAAGTAGAATCTGACCCCCAAGGGGCACATCTCTACCTGACATCAGCAGCTCCCCATGGATCCCCCATCATTTTTACTTTTGTTGTATCTGTAATTAAAAAAGCAAAACCATCCCATCCTCGCCCCCACAGAGACCACATGTGGTATTGACTGTCTATAGCTGATGCAAACCCAGCTTTTTAAAGCAGAAAATGTGTCTGAAAATAGATTGAAAGTGATGTAAAAGCCATGCTCTTCAAAGAAAAGCACCAACCCCTTTTGCCCTTATGGTTCTGGAAGGGGTTTTGTCTGGTGCAAAATGTGTTTCCCCCTCGGCCTCCTCCCCTCACCCAGAGCTGTACATCCGCTTTTGTTCGGCCGGTGTTGTGGAGCTAAATCCTAGAAACGTAATTTATTCAAAGTGTTCTGCACACATGTAAATGGGCAAAACTTATTGACAGCTGAGTTAAAGTATCTCTTTCTTCTGCGTAACAAGGCGCTTTTACTGACTCTTTCAACCGGTGGCTTTGTTCCTCAGGCGGGTGAAAAGAGCTTACGGGGGAGAAACGGGCAGGCAGGGAAAATGCCTCTGGAGCGTGTTGTGTGTCTGCACAGTCGCAAATTTGCACGCGTACAGCGCGGCAGCACCTCCCCCCCGCGTGCATCCCCGTTGCGTCGGAAGGCGTACGCACAGCGCGCAGATCTGGGCATAGACTTGATATCAAGAAGAGCTGCTGAGGCTGCGTGCGTGAGGACACCGTCTGTGTACGCGGTCCTTTCGAAAGCTCCAAGTGGCCGTAGGTCTGCCTTTAACAGTGTCCCCGAAAGGATCTTGGTATTTGTACATTAAATTCCAAGCACACAGTGAATTTAGCTGAACTTTCTGCTGCTTAAGCACTACTCTTTCCTCCTCCATACAAGGCCTTGAATTAGCTAATTAAAATCTAGTGGAGAGAGGGAACAGTCGGCGACGTAGTGAACTCACCAGATTTCTGAGGTCATTCCTGGTACGCAGTTCCCTCACTCTGTCCCATGAAAAGATTTTTAAGTATTCATTGGAAATCTCCCATGGATTTAACTTCTTCCTTTGTTTTGCTTTGCAGCAAAAGCTTGATTGAAAGTGGCTGTGGCAGCAGTAATGCATGGCTGAGTTTGGAGAAAACAAGCTCTAGACCTATTTAGAGGTTTCATTTGAAAGCAGCTTCCATTATCTCCTTTTAGGGGCTGTGGTTAGCAAGTAGCAGGGGGAATGCGAGTCTGTGTTTGTCCATTATGACTTCTTTATCAATTTTTTTTTTTAATCACTAGTTTTTAGGAAGAGGTGGAATTCTTTTTATTTTATATATGTAATTAAGGTCTGGTAAACCTGAATCCAGTTTTCTAGGGATAAACTTTGGTGGCGGATCCTAGGACCGTTAAGCTCCTATCCATCCATCTTTTAGAATTTCTTCATCATCCCAGGACAGAAAACTGAAGAAAATTTAGAAATTTTCCCGGTCTTGCATTTTTGGGGGGAGATAAAGTTCTTAAAACTAGAATTACATGCTGTAATTTAAGGTATCAGTTAGTGTCACCTGATCGAAGCTACTTCGTGTTTTATTAAGCGTCTTGTTTTCTGAGCCTCAGTCAACACAGATGACGCTTCAAGGAGAGGAGCAGTGCTGCTTGGGCCCCAGCAGCGCAGCCCCCCTGGCTTCAATGGTACTGGATGAAGATTTTGAGTTTGGCTCAGTAGAACGGATCGATACATGGTATGGAGTACTTATTTACTTAAGGACACGGTTGGAAATGTGCCGTCTTCACCCCAGAGCAGGGAGGGGACATG